GGCCATGAATGTGCACTATGCATTAGGCTATTTTATATTTTACTATATTGCATTATTTTACCATACTGTATGATGCACATTCAGGCCAGTAAGAAAGAAAATTAATTATGTGTATCACTGGCAAATTTTGTCAATTCACCCGACAATTGATAAGTGTGACAGAAAGTTAATTTTGGAGTATTCAGGACTTGCAATCAAATTATGCACACTCAACTACATATATTATTATTAATACAATATTAACCGGTAGAATGTGTATTTTCCATACACTGCAGTTATGAATATTGAAACTCCTTCAATTAAAAGTTTTGTCAAATATAATTTCTTTATACTTACTTAGCCCCTACTCTGTTTTACTGTAGAGAACAATACATGGAGACATTTCTGGAGAGTTTTCATATATTACTGTAAAAATGAGAGTCAGGGTGATTTTAATTATTTTGTTAAAGAACCACATGCTGATCAAAACTTTTAACCAAGATTAATAAGTGAACTTACAGTACATGCAAATGATACATCACATTAAAAGAAAGAGGAAACAAGGGAAGGAAGCTGGAGATCTTATATATTCCAAGGACCTACAGTGCAGGTTTGTAAGAATATAAGAGAGGAGAAATGAAGAGTTGCTTTGATCAGTTATGGATGTTTATAATGACTGATTAGCATGGCAACTGTTCGTTCTATGCCAGCACACCTCTTGCAATATAAACCTTGCCAAAACTGAAAGAGACACCGGGAAGAGGAAAGCAAGAGGAAGACTGAGAGGGTGGATCAAGTATCGGGCATCATGCCATGCCGCTCTCCTCAGTTGTCCCTCTGTGCCAACTTGGAAGGCATGGTGCCAAGTTCTAAATGAATGAGTTTGCTTGGGCGCCAACTGTTTCACCCACAGCTCCGGCGGACCATGCCCATCAGCGGCCAGGACAAGAAGTCTGTGCAGATAAATGTCAAGCATTAATGAAATCTGTACTAACAGAGATGGAGAACCAGACGATTTCTTCCTCTGTACAGAATGGGGCGATATAGTTCATAATGATTAATATTTTGGGGTTACTGGAGTCAGATGTGCTGGTAAACACAGGTGCAGATGTGTCTAATGGGAAAGTGTCAAACCTAAACTCTTCCTTGTTCTCTATTTCAGGTGACCCGATAGTTCTATGCTCCAAGCAGATGCAACTTACTGGGGACAAAAGTTATGAAAGTGAAGACTAACTAGAGACAGCATTGAGCTTCAGCTAACAGGATCGATCAGTATTAGTCAAAGATTATTTGCAATCAAAACATCTGAGGAGCAGACTGATCTCTGGAAATATATCCACCATAAACATCAGGACCATCCTGAAGTTAATGTGTCCTCCTCAATGGACCCCCTGGCCTTCTGGACACTCGATCTTCTGGGTGTGGATCCATAACCTCTGGAATGTGTTGGCTGGGGGGTCTCATTGTATGTATGCAGTTGTTGTTTTTTTATTTTTATTTTTTATTTACAGAAGTTTGGATCATCTACACCAGTGCAGCCCAATGGAGTTTAAGCTTTTCAGTAACATGCTCTCCTTCCTTGCCCTTCAGTTCTTCCGACAATTCCATAATCATTCCTGCTCTACCTGATCAGAAGGCCCGATCATTTCTTGTGGAATCCTTTAAACAGCATTTAAACATGTAAAATCAATCTGGACCTCTAACGGACTCATCTTCTGTATATTGTTTGTTTCTAAATTAAAGCTTTTCAACCCCACAGTCTGAAATAAAAGAATAGATGTACCAGTATATTCTATAAAATGTTAAAGTGTAAAAGATCAAAGTGTTATTCTCAAAACAAGAAGAATAAAGTTTAAAGGTTATCACTTTTATTATCAATGTTTTTTTATCCAGCCTGGTAACTGCTATTGAGTACATGTGTCAGTATTATATTCAATCATTAAAAATGTCAAAAAGAATTTTTCTCCGTACTCTGATTTCAGAGGCTGCAAGCTATTGAAAACTAATAGCTTGTTGTGCCACAAATAACATGATTTATTCATTTTTCCTTCACAGATACTGATACGCAGGAAAACAACATAATCAGCATTATATATGTATCATGTTTTCTGACCTTTATGCCTTAAGACAAAACATATGCTCTCTGTGCACCACCTCTCTCTGTCCTTCACTTTCTGACAACAAAATGGGATTTTTATTTGTCAAATCGAATTCTCAGATCTGTTCAATGCACATGCCATTTAGCTTTGAGGAAATCTTGAGAACGTTTGCGCACGTCATTAAGAGATTAGAGAAATTAGCCCAAAATAAAAATCATTAATACTAACCAGAACGGCAGCACAGAGAGAGAGGCACAAAGAGAGATATTTGAACGTAAAATGATGCATAGGCCGTGTATGGACATGCATGCTGATATCGTAATACATGATATCATGAAACGCACACCCAGAGTCCCACATACATATACTGAAGCTCATTGCAAGCAGAAATTCCCCCCGCACAACAACAAGACTGTGAGTTTTAAAATTCAACGGAACGTTGCGGAATAATAATAGGCGCAGCTCACTTCTGAAGCATCTGCGATTGTTAGGCTACTTTGAATCAGTAGGAATCTGGCAAAATACAAACAGGTGAACAAAGCTGCACGCAAATATTGTCAGGCGCTGCCACTGCACTGCCACTGTCTTTCTCTCATTCACACACACCAGGAAATGACACGTCACCCTGGGATGTAGGTGTTGAGACTTGGTGCCGCTTATGCAAATACAACTTGCAGATTTAATGAAGTCTGACGGCCGAGCGAAAAAGGCCAGGAGAGATACCATGCACACTCTGACAGCACCGACGAAAATAAAATGTGAGCTAGCTGAATAAATAAGAAAGAAAGAAGGCAAGTAAGAAAGGAGGAAAGAATCGCTGTGCAGTTGTTGCGACTGTGCGTGTGCATGTAGCAGGTACTATATATTGTATTTGTGTATGAAAGTTTGCATGTACATAATACTTTAATGCTCAGAGTTGCATGCATATGAATGTGATGAGATGCGGTAACTGTATGACAGACGTACATAAACATTATGTAATTCCGTAGGTGAGGTATGTTAACCTGCAGCCATTTGGGGCAGTCGTGGCCTAAAGGTTAGAGAGTCCAGTGGGAGGAGTGAATAACCAGCGCTCTCTTCCATCTTCAATACCACGACTGAGGTGAGACCCTTGAGCAAGGTACTGAAACCCCCAACTGCTCCCCGGCGCAATATGGCTGCCCACTGCTCCGGGTGTGCGTGCACTTGGATGGGTTAAATGCAGAGCACAAATTCCGAGTATGGGTCACCATACTTGGCTACACTTCACTTCACTTTGCAAGTTATGCTCACACAATTAGTTCCGGTTCTCGAATCTGATTGGTCCAGAGTGCCACTTTCTGCATGGTACATAGCTTTGCCAATAGGTGGCAACAAGTCTTTAAGAGCGAGTCATTGAATTATTCAGTCAACCGATTAGTTCAAAACATTGCTACATTCAATCTTAAAAATTAAGTGGGGTTCAAAATGGGGTTTTCGTAGTGATTACATAGAAGAACTATTTATTTGAAGATTTTAAAAATCTAAAGAACCTTTTTTTCACTTTAAATAACTTTTTGCAGAATGGAAAGGTTCAGTGAATGTTAAAGGTTCAGATAACCATTAATGCCAATAAAGAACCTTTATTTTTTTAGAGTGTTTGTGAAAAAGAGTGAGTCAAAATGCTCATCATTATGAGTGAGTCTTTGAATCATTCACTTAACCGTTTCATTTAAAAACACCAGTCCATTTCGAAAACTAAACATAGCTAGGGTGTGTTGTTTGTAAACACACATCGCTAATTCATACGCACATCGCTAATAAAAATGCAAATATTATGGAATAAATCAGCATAAAATTACAAGTGGTAGAGGATAGCAGCTTAATCAAAAACATCTGTAGATTAAAAATTAGCATTATCACTATCGCACACACATAGTAACAAAAACAGGCAGATGAATGCATATTAATCATGCTTTATCTGGCTGAATTGTGTAAGTGCGTCTCCCACTATTCTGAAGTTTACTGTAACATTGGTGACCTACATAACTGTTCACTGATAAAAACACATCATTCTTCATTATTTTCATATCAGCCAGGCAGATGAACAATAATGGAGGAAAGACTGGATAGAGATTGGAAATGTTGTCTTCATAGTTTTCCGAATAGAAATTTGCACCAAAACACTGGTTGCGGCTTTAATGCAGTTCGGCTAAATTATAATGCATTAATAGCAATCTCCCAGCACACACAATACTATGTGTGTGTGTGTGTGTGTGTGTGTGTGTGAGAGAGAGAGAGAGAGAGAGAGAGAGAGAGAGAGAGTTTGTCACATACAGTACTCTGCAGCCTATAGCAATGTCTGAAAGGACATTCATTTTTCAAGTGTAGAAGAAATGGAAGGTTTCAGCCCCAAATTGCAAAGTGACAGTGAATGTTTGTGACGTGCAGTTAGCTCTTAACATGCTCACAGAAGAGTCAATCCCTCTAGAGGCACGAGAGCCTTGTGGTGTTCAGAACAGCAGAGACAAGCCAATAGGTGAATTGGGTGTATGCCACTGACAAGAAGGATAAGGTAATATTGAGGAGAAATCTTTCTGTCCACTCATAGAGCCCTTCTAGCATAATAATGTGAGAGGATACCAAGATCTTTCAGGAGCTAAATGCTGTGCAGCTAAATCTAGCAGGTCTTAATAATTCAGTTGGCATGATGGTAACATTTAACTGACCTCTCTGTCATTCTGCTGTTCCAGATTCCACAAGATACAAACATGCTCCATCAAAGTAAAATGTTTGTTGATATTAATTATTCATTAATAGTAGTACTAAATCTAGTACTGCTATAGTCTAAGAAAATGTTGTTGTTTTCTTTGAGGTCATACTCTGGTGAAAGCAGTAATGCATGTGGGCTGGTTGGTTCTGGTTTTTCCTACATTGTGAGGACCAAATGACTCCATAAGGATAGTAAAATCTGATATTACAGGGACAAACCAACAGTCCTCACAAGGAAAACGGCTTAATAAATAATGTCTTCATGAAAATGTTCAAATGCAGAACAGATTTATGCGAGCGTTAAATGTAAGGTTTGGGAATAGAAAATATCAGCTCAGTATAAAAACATTAGGAGTCGCGGACGACCTTTGTACTATGATAGAAAAAGTTGGTAATAATAATAATAATAATAATAATAAATCTTATTAAATTTTCAGTCTGTTTCTTATATATTTCCTCTTATTTCTCTGTTCACATTATTATATCATTTTTTTTTCATGATTCAATTTACTAAGTTTAATCAAGCCTCTGGAGATCCAGTCCTCAGCAATGCTGGAGGAACAAGTATAAATTTGCAGAAAACTGAATGAAATGAAGCTTGACTTTTGAAAAAGTCACATTTGGTCTAAATGATTATTTATGAGTGTTTCTGGGGCTGTCATATGTTCAACTAAATTACATGAACTATTTTTTTTTTGTTGAGGAAAATCCATGCTGAGAATGTTGTTGATTCAGTGACAGACATGAAATATTAACAGCACAAGAGGCTTAAAATGGCAAGTCTAAAATAAACCCCTATCTGAGTCATATCTACGGGTTTATAGGCCAGTCTGCTGCTGGCACAGATGAAGCTTCCCTTCACTCATCTTTAAGTACCTGAGTCTGTACCCAGATTCCTTGACGTTTCCCCAAAATGTGCCACTGGCATGCAGAAAATAGTTTAGTGTGTGAGGGTTTGTAGATTCTGATGCTCTAATCTGGTCCTATAGGACTTGCTGAGCTAATACGACTCCGATGGTCAAATTCCTTCAGATACTGCCAACAATCTCCACTGCTGTGATCCAGTGATCTCCAGAGCAGGAGTTTAATCCTTTGGTCTAATTGCTTAATTAATACTGCAGTTTATGCTGAACTTTATGCTATGGTGTTGTTGCACTGTATTAAATGTAGTTCAGTGGTGCATAGTCTGCATTTGATGTAGTTTAGTGCCGTCTTGTGCTCTAGTTTATTCACGCAGTCCATCGCTCCAGTGTAACCATGCAGTGTAATGTTATAGAATAATCTCATTTGGCTTGTGCTAACACATTTACACACTCTATTTAAATTTGTTTTGATTATCAGATACCAGGACACTTGTGCCATTTAGCATCACAGTCCAGTGTGTGTGTGTGTGTGTGTGTGAACAGATGGCCCCGTCACAGAGCCATTAGCACCGAAGAGAATGAGTACAGAGCAACAACAGATGAACAGAATGAAAGAGAGAGAAAAATGAAAAACAACGAGAGGATGAAGGAGATACATGAGTTTCATGAGTGTATCATATGGTTTTAGCTTTGAAACTCTCTGAATTGTTTAATTTAGTCCAGGGTTGTAGAGTTTGGTATCCTGCCAAAGACTTCCATTTTCATATTTTTATTTACCCAAAGTTCATTGATATGAATGCTTTGTGGCTTATGGTAAGAGTTTTAAAAATGTCGTCTGTGGGTATCTGAAAAATAATAAAAATGTAATAATAATAATAATTAGTAGTGGTAGCATTATAATTAATGACATTTTAAGAATTTTACATTATGGGGGTTTCATTCTGCTTTCAGAACACTGGCCAGAAATCATGTTAGTCAAAAATTATTTTCTTACAGTATATTGACCAGCAAAATACAAAAAAAGACTTCAACTTTATGGCAAAGTGTCAACCTTAAAGAAAGTAAATATTTTCCAATGTTTTTTATATTCAT